CAGAAAACACATTTCAAAACCTGAGCTATAATCCTAGTAAGTGGAAAATTATTTTTATAAATTTTACAGTATTTGCTCATTAAGGATTTCACTTTGTGAGGCTCATGTTCATGAGGTCTCTTAATTTCAATTTGATAAGAGAAGAGTGAACCAGAAGAGAGCAGCTGCATACATACAACCTAGAAGCCACATGGATACTCACTTTAAATATTGAGAACACATAGCTAAATGATTTATGAATGAAAATATCATTTAATTTGGTCAAGTGATCAATCCTCACCCAGAAGGGCAAACAGATGGACATTGAAAGAGGAATAAAACAGGGAACAGGACAGGAACATGCCACAGAGGGCCTCTGAAAGGCTACCTAGCAGGGTATCAAAGCAGATACTAAGACTCATAACCAAACTTTGGGCAGAGTTCAGCGAATCTTATGAAAGAAAGGGGAGATAGAAAGACCTGGAGGGAACAGGAGCTCCACAAGGAGAGCAACAGAACCGAGAAATCTGGGCACAGGGGTCTTTTCTGAGACTGATACTCCAACCATGGACCATGCACGGAGATAACCTAGAACCCCTACACAGATGTAACCCATGGCAGCTCAGTGTCCAAGTAGGTTCCCTTGTAATGGGAAAAGGGGTTGTCTCTGACATCATCTCAGTGGCTGTCTCTTTGATAACCTCCCCCTAAGTGGGGAGCAGACTTACCTGGCCACAGAGGAAAACAATGCAGCCAGTCTTGATGAGACCTGATAGGCTAGGGTCAGAGGAAGAGGGAGGAGGACTTCCCCTATTAGTGGACTTGGGGAGGGGCATGGGTGGAGATGAGGGAGGGAGGGTGGCGTTGGGAGGGGATGAAAGAGGAGGCTACAGCTGGGATACAAAGTGAATAAAAACTAATTTATAAACTAAATAAATAAATAAATAAATAAATAAATAGATAAATAATTTGATCAAGTGTTAAGATATTTTGGCCTGATGATAACATATTGGACAAAATTAACAGAAATAAAAATGTGCACAGTGATTATTAAACATACAAAACAATACTAATCTCAAAATCATCCATGATTTAAAAACCTCATATGGAAATTATAAAAAATGGTCAATACTTTAAGGTCACAATTACATTTACAGAATATTGGTATACATTGTACCGCTCAATAATATGTTTGTGTAGTATCACACACACAGAGTAGTGGGCGCCTCAGTCACTCTCACATGAGGAAATATGATCAGCATCCTTTTCTAGGCCAACTCCGTGACCCGTTTTACTGCCCTGCATTTGCATTATTTACTACTGTTGATCCTAGGAATGTACACCAAAACAGCACTTTGTGAGTGTTCTTATGGCTGGCCTGGTCACTTTCAGACTTCTAGATGCGCAATATCATTCCCAAGGTCTAAATGTATTGTCCTGTCATCAGCACTATGGGGTGTTACTCATTGACAGTATATCACCTCTCACGCCAGGCAAAGTGAACGAGCCCCATCAACTTCCAGACATTCAAATAGAAAATCTTGCTTTACATGACATCATCGAGAGCCTTTAGTATGTGTCAGTTCCCCTGATGCATTCCTGGAGCATAGCAGAACCTTGCTGGTAGGCAGCATGATATTACATTACATGGAGGATTGCAGATTTGGCCCAGTTTCCCAATGTTTCATCACTATTCTCAATTCCGTTGGATAAACAATGAAATCATTTTTTTTTTTTGCTTTCACAGAAAAGATATTTACAAAGACTGAAGTGATTGCTCTATCTTATATTTTTCTAACTATCTGCCTGAATTCAGGAGAAGTTACATTAGACAGTACATTACAGTTTTGATACACACAAATATTTAAGATACTTCAAAGTGCTGAGAAAAAGTATATATTGTTTACTATACACCAAATTATGTAAAATGAAAGAAACCATTGAATAAATATTTAATGTTATGTGAATGTATGTATTCTGTTTTCTGGTTGTGATTTTAGTTTTTTGCTTGTATGCAAAGGGTATATTTTTGCTTTAGTTACAATAAATTTATCTATGTAGTATTTGCTACAGACAGATAATGCCAGGAAAATAAAGCCAGAAACACTAATTAAAAATGTAAATACTGAAAATATTAAAAATGGTCTTTCTACCACTACCTGTTAATCTCTAAAGAAAAAATAATATGGGGAAAACTTCATCAGTTCATTTTACAAACACACATTTTGTAGAATTATTTTCTACAAAAAACATACATTTTTCGTATTATATTTGAGTTAAAAATAATTTGGAATGTCTAAACACTATAGATATGAAACTTTTATTGCACTAGCCAGAAAGAAATATGGCTAAGCCCATCCAATCTGTGTGTGTGTACATGTCTGTGTGTTGTGTGTGTGTTTTGCATTTTATAGGTTTTCATTGTTGAATTAAGAAACTGGTTAGAGATATTTTAAAACAGTTATTTTAAAAGTTGATACTGATTTTCAGCTGAGAATGCATATTTTAACACTAGGCACAATATGGGAAGAGTAATGTGATAAACATAGTATAATCTATAAACCTAAGGAAGCTAAACAACAAGGAGGACCCTAGGGAAGATGCTTAACTCTCATTCAGAAGGGAAAACAGGTTAGACACCGGAAGTGGTAGAAGAAGGAACAGGATGGAGCCTACCACAGACATCCTCTGAAAGACTCCACCCAGCAGGGGATCGAAGCAGATGCAGAGACTCACAGCCAAACTTTTGACAGAGCACAGGGAGTCTTATGGAAGGAGGGGAATGTAGAAGGACCCAGGGGGGACAGGAGCCACACAAGGAGACCAACAACAACAACAAAAAACTGGGCCGGGGGGGGGGTACTGCAGAGACTGATAATCAGCCAAAGACCATGCACAGAAAGGACCTAAACCCCCACCTCCCACCTTGCTCAGATGGGGCCAATAGACAGCTCAGGCTCCATGTGGGTCCTCTAGTAAAGGGAGAAGAAATGGTCTTTGACTTGAACTCAGTTGCCTGCTCTTTGATCAGTCCTTTCTGGTGGGGCAACCTAGCCAGCCCACAGAAGAAGAGGATGCAGGCAGTCCAGATGGGACCTGATAAGCTAGGGTCAGACAATAGGGGAGGAGGACTTCCTCTATCAGTGGACTAGGAAAGAGGAATAGGGGAGAAAGAGGGAGGGAGGGTGCAACCAGGAGGAGATGAGGGAGGGGACTACAACTGGGATACAAAGCAAATAAATTGTAAATAATAATAATGATAACAAACTAAATAAACAATAGAAATTTGAAAGGACAAAAAAATTGTTTCAAAACTTTGTATATAAAAAGCCGTGAGTAAATTCATGGCTTGTGGTGGTATAACGACAATGTGTGAGCATGTTTCACTACGAATCTTAGAAAGTCTGATTGGATTTGTATTAGGTGAGGCAATGTGACCACACTCTGAGCCAGCTAAAATGTAAAATGAATCTCAAATATGCAATGCTGTTCTACACATGGAATGCAACATCACTTGAGAAAGCATTGTTGTGTGAAAGTTAAAGATTCCTGTAGGCCTAAGACAAAGGTCTTTGCAAGAAAGTGGTTTGGATTTACCTGTAGGTTGGTGGTTATATCCAATTTCTAATTCTCTCTCTTCACTTTGATCTTTGAAAGAATGATGTGCCAGCTTTGTCTGGCATTAAACCCAGTTGAAAGGTTAAGGGCTCTAACCCTGCTGCTGGTGACACCATGCTTAGCTCTAGAGCTCTTGCCAGGAAAAATGTATCATCTGGAAAACAGTCAGCTGTCGGAGAACTTTCAAAATACTATTTTACCCTATTTTGGACTACAAGACACATACTGTTGAAAAATCCAGTGATTGCTAGAAAAATAAAATTTATTTGAGATTAAGTTTGAAATTTGTGTCCCTCACTCTCTGTGCTCAGGTTCTACTCTCTTTGGCCGGTGCAACTAAAAACAGTTGCATGGAAATAAACATCTAAAAAATAAAGGACAATCGACAGAAATGAAGGACCTTCTGTTCAACTGGTAGGACAAATGTGGGAGAATATTGAGTCTCTGAGAATAGATGCAAGACTCCATCCAACCCTACCCCTGACCATTCTCCTCGTACCTCATGCTTGTAAAGAGGGGGGTACGAGGCCCCCAGTCCAGGCCACCCCTCTGTACTCAAGATTCTCATTTCTTTCTCTACTCTTCACCCTGACTGGGGCACCTCAGAGACAAGCTTGGTTTAATGTCTTCATTCTCCCTCACACCTGCTCCTTTTTCAGGGTTCACTTTCAGACAATATGTGTTTTCCACTGCTCCGGTTTTCAGACATTGGGAATTTGTTTGTTTGCTTTATTTGTTTTCTTTGAGGGGATGGTTTTATTTTGGTTTGGGGTTGTTTTTTTTGGGGGGGGTAGGGAGCTGTCATGATTGTATTGAGTTTTTGTTTTTTGAGAAAGAACTTCAAGTTGGGTGGATGGGGGGGATCTGAAAGAACTTGGGTGAGGGGGAAGAATATGATCAAAATAAATTTTAAAGTGGTTCTAAATAATAAAAATATAATATAATAAAAATTTAAACATCACACAGTGCTTTCAAGGACAGTTCAATGCTTCTTAAGGCTGGAGTCATTTGCTTCCTCCCCTGACACTAGTTTTTAGCAGGTTTTGGTGCTCTCATTTACCATAACTTACCTCTATTTTTTTATTATTAGTTACATTTTATTAACTCTGTATCCCAGCCATATCCCGCTCTTCAAAATTATTGCAAATCCATAGGCCCTCAACCAACTCTGAGTTCTGTATGTTCTTTGCCATCTGATCTAGGGCACCCTTACTTAGACTGTTATGCTGTCTAGCAATCATGCATTGACCGCCCAACTAGGAATAAGCATGTCCAGTTAGGTTCTGAAAACAAGCCGTGTGGATGTCTTCCCTAGAACAGTGTTTCTGTGACTGAAGTAAAGACAGCTCTAGAAGAACCAATCCACTTCTGCACTGCCTTGTGGAGTTGCGTACTCACCGCTTTCCGGTCGGGTAGAATCTGGAACACGAGTGGCCGTCCCAGGCACAGTATGGGTCCCTGGCCAGGCAGCAGTCTGCACAGGCCGTACCGTAAATGTGGCAGCGATGCAGAGACACCTGGGAAACCCCCTCATTGGAGCTCACGTACAACTGTTGCTGCAAGGAGAGTCATGATGATTTACTTCAGATGTAAAAGTTAAAAAGACTTTCAGCAGGAGCACATTATAATATATGACCACAGACCCATGGACTCATTTAGACAAAGAGTCAAAAAAAGAAGCAGAGAGAGTATAAAGGCAAAATAAATAGAATTTTCCTACGTCAACATGTCTGTAACATTACCGCTTTCTGCTAAAAAGAAGTACCTCCCAGTGTACCATTTAGAATGTTAATCGCTTTTAAACGTGGGGATCAACTGTTCTTTAAGATTTGAGCTAGCGTATTCAGATTTAAATTACGATGTTTTCTTTTCCCTCTGACCGCTGGGTCTTAGCGAATCCCAAGGAAGCTTTCATATTTCCCCAGTCCAGCAGCACAAGTCAGTTTTGAAACAGATGACAATTTTGTTTAGAAGAAAGTTCTAGATGTTCAGTCAGAGCCAAAGGGAAGCCACGTGAATACATTTCTTTCAAAGGAACTCACTGCTTATTAAAGCTATTGTTTAGATTATTTGAAAAAGACTCATGTTTATTTTTACATGTAGGTATTCGCACTTGTATGTGCGTGTGTGTGGCACATAAACACCTGTGTGTGCACTGGTGTACTCCTGCAGAGGCCAGAGGAGGATTCTGGGTATCGTGCTCTATAACACTCTTCCATATTCCGTTAAGTTACTGAACCTGGAGAAATTCTAGCCCCCAGCAATTCCCAACCATCCTCCCCCTCCCTCTGTGGTACAGTGATGTTCATGGCCACCTATTGCTTTTTAATGTGGCTGCTCTAATTCAACATCAGGTCCACGTGGTTGAAGAGCAAGCATTCTCACTCGGTAGGACACCTCATCAGCCCTAACATAAGGATTTACATTTTAACATCATTCAAAATTCCTCCTTTGTCTACTAATCTTTATTACCTAACAAAGTCAAAAAAATAAGAGTTAGCTGGGCATGGTGATACAAGCCTGTAATCCCAGAGGCACAGGCAAATATTGGATAGCTGTGGCTTTGAGGTCAGCCTGGTCTACAAAGTGAGTCCAGGCTACATAGAGAACAGAGAAAACTTGTCTTGAAAAATAAAACAAAGAAAAAAACAAAAATGTTCCTCCCCTTCATTTGTAAGACCTGGAGAAATTTTTAAAAATGCATTGTTATTGATTATTTTGAGAATGTTATGTAATGTATAGGGCTTGTGCTGTAGTGTTCTAAGATACAAATCTTCCAGGGCTGATAAAATGCTCAAAATAGCTACTGGGAAGACAACTGACAATGAATATGAATTCATTACAACAGCAGAAGAAAATATCAACGAACAAACTAACACTCTCCAAGTTTCTATTCCAATCACATGGATCATGTTTTAGTCTATTGTGTAAAACATTGTTATTTTGTTCAAGTCAATTGAATTTTAAGAAATTGAAATTGATGGATTCCCATATAGATATTTAAATCCGAAGGGGAAAAAAAAAACAACAACATATTCTGTGTTTTCTCAAGTACCATTCTCCCAAGAACACTGGGCATAAACAGTTACTACAGGATGCTATGACACAGATCTGGGATTTCAGTGTCTTGGGAGGTAAAGCAGGAGAGTGACAAGCTCAAGGCTTTTCTGGGCTACATAGTGACTTCACAAAGCCACAATGGGCACTTACTAAGGCTTTGTTACAAAAAGGAAAGTTAAAAAAGAAGGCTGGCTCAGTGGTAGAGCATGCTTAGAATACAGGAATCCTCTAGGCTCTATCCCCTATCAGTGTTTATTGCATAACTAAAGATGTATGTATCTAAAGGAGAGAGGCAAGTGACAGTGTCAGACTCATTAAAATATTTTAACAATCTAGTTTATTTGAGAAAGGCTAAAAAGAAGTTGTATTATATACTTTAATTTTTTTAATAATGTCGATATTTTTGCCATTGGGTATTAAGCACATTGAAAGAAATAAACGTAAAATTGTATGAGTAAGTACATTGAGTACAAAGAAAGATATCAAATTCATGATAATTAAACACCTGTAAGATTCTCTTCACGAACTGTAGTCTTTCCACCTCAGAAAGTAACACAGGGTTTAGTGAAGCTCAAGAGTTCAGACTCATAGCCAAACTTTGGGCAAAGTGCAGGGAAACTTATGAAAGAAGGGGGAGATTGAAAGACCTGGAAGGAACAGGAGCTCCATAAGGAGAGCAACAGAACTGAGAAATCTGGGCTCAGGGATCTTTTCTGAGACTGATACTCCAACCAAGGACCATGCATGGTCTTAGAACCTCTGCTCAGATGTAGCCTATGGAAGCTCAGTCTTCAACTGAGTTCCCCAGTAATGGGAACAGGGACAATCTCTGACATGAACTCAATGATTGGCTCTTTGATCACCTTCCCCTGAGGCAGGAGCAGTCTTACCAGGCCACAGAGGAAGACAATGCAGCCAGTCCTGATAAGACTTGATAGGCTAGAGTCAGAGGGAAAGTGAGGAGGACCTTCCCTATCAGTGGACTGGGGGAGGGGCATGGGAGGAGATGAGGGAGGGAGGGTATGATTGGAAGGGGAGGCGGGGGAGCTATAGCTGGGATACAAAGTGAATAAACTGTAATCAATAAAATTAAATTAATTAAAAAAAGAGTTTCAGAAAAGCCACTACCCCATCGGTGATGTCCACTACTACACTGAAACATTTTAAAGTATTCATAGTGTAAGATGATGAAAACCAAAATAACATATGAGTCATAAAGACGTTGAGACATACACTTTATATATGACTACTATGACACACAAATGGCTGTGAAAACTTAGAATCTTGATTCTATATTGTCTCTTTCCATTAAGACTTCGTAAACAAAAGGCTTCCCTGCTGCCTTCAAAGACAATTCTGACTTGAGATCAGCTCCATGGGACATTAGCAAAATGACAAATGACTTCTAGTTACATGGGAAAATGTTTGTTATGCACCATGCAAACATTTTTACAGATGAGATCTTTAACTCCATTATGTCATATTTATTTGTTCTCATAAAACTTGGTCAAGTGAAAAGAGCACAAGACTGAGGATGAATACCACATCATGTCTAGTGCCTTGGCTATGGCAAAGGGCACTGCAATTATAAAGTCAGTTGTTCAAACATCTAAAATCTTTAGTCCCTGATCCAAGGAAAACAGAATCCAAGGTTCTTGAGGACAGCGCTAGTTAGTGACATTTTATTCTAGGCGATTTACATACATCATTTGTGAGAAAGGCATTGCTTTTTAGATGAAGAAACTTAGGTCAGGGAAGCTAAACAACTTGCCTGTAATTTATAGTCAAATTGGCGTTAAATACATGTAAGGCTGACTCAGTCTGACTCTAGGGAGGCGTAGCTCTTGTGGCTTTGGGAATCGGAGCAGGGTGCATCAAAACATGGAAAAACTAGAATTGCCATCTCCTGCTCATGGTCATTGAATGTTTGCATGTTCACAAAAAAAGCCTCAGTTAACTAAATTCTTAGTAATCACCATCACTCTTCACTTTACCACGTCCACATCCTGTAAACAGGGTATGTTAAGGGTTTTGCAGATAGATATAAACCCTAGAAAACAACAGTGCATGATTCTTTCAAAGGCATAGCTGTCCCGGGAAAGCCTGAAGTAGCTGGATCACCCATTCTAGCCCCCTGAGAACGGCTAGGTATTATAGTAGCCCCAATGGTATTCTCAGTTCCTTTAGAATGTTTATTTTAAGTGTAGTGAATACACCATAATAGCTGAAGGTACGGCATATACAAAAAGATGTAATGCCTTTCTGTATATATGGTCTGCTGTCATTAATTTTCATGTAAAATAAACATTCCATTTTCACTAATAGACATTAAGGTCTGTATCAAGTTAGAGATTCTGTGTGATTACTTGTTTAATAATAAAACTAGTTTTTCAGAAGTTACAAAACATGCAATGAAAACATTACATTTCAATATAATTTTTGTTGTGGATAAAACGTAAAAATGCCTTAGTTCTTACCTTTTTGGATGAGATTTTCATTGTTGTTATGGGAACATGGTTCTAAAAGATTAAAAAGGTATACATTAGTTGCTCATATGATCTCAAAAAGCATTTTTGTTTGTAAAATTTCAAGCTTTGCATAGAAATTCAAAGTGTCATATTTTTCTCTCAGTGCACACACTCTCTGTAAGTTATCGTTCTTCTTTGGGACTACGGACAGACTTGTGGTATGTAGCATTTGCTTAAACTTGAAAGAACTTAAACTTGAAAGAACACACTTATCACAACAGTCTTTAAAATTAAAATTGACAAGTGGGATAATTGAAAGAAAAATTTGGAACATTGAATGGAGAATTGGATCCACGCATAAAGGCTGGGGAGACACAAACAGAACACAGTCTGTGTGAGATATTATTGTTCCCCTGACAAGAGTTGTTCAGGGAAGATGTATTGGGCTAAACCACACTATTAAGTTCTCACTGGTGAAAAAGAAGACACATATAATCCTTCTGAAAGCCGCTTGACAACATTAGTTCCTAAATATCATCAATTGGTTTTAAGCTTAAAGTTAAATTTCTGATAAGCTGATGATGATCTCTGAAGACTTAAATAATCCAGGCAGAAGAAAGTGCTCAAATTCAATTATTCCCACAATTATAGTTCTTTTGGGTTGAATATATTTGTAAACATTTAAAATGAAAAAATGCCACTATCACTAACTCTCAGTTACAAAAGCTGCGAGTCATTATCCCTCATTAACACGCACACATACACATGTGCAACAGATGTGAACTTTTACAGTCCCTGAATCAACTACTGAAGTTGTGTCTCAGCTGACTTTCAGCTTAAACGAACAAGACACCTTCAGAAACATGAATATAGGACTAAAGAAGAGATTATGGTTTTGTGCTATGTAATAACTGCTCCTAGTTTGTGAAAGCCGCACTGCTATTTCTGCAGAATGTCCATATGACACATAACTAAGGAGTTTTTTTTTGTACTTAAATCCATTACATCCTTGCATGACCATCAGAATATATCATACACACCCAATTACTTTTACCTCAGTAATGTGACGCAAACACATGCCAAAGGCATTTGCCAACAGTGGCTTTTAACTGCTGTATCAACAACCGTGCAGGCATAGGTAAGGAAGCTCAAACACCTTGTAGAATGACATCCCCCACCTGCATTGTGACTGACTGTGTATTTCCACTGAGAGTTTCTTCTCCTTGATAACAGCAGAGCAAATCATGTAACAGCCCATTCATAGCTCTCACTTGATCAGAAAAACACGCATGTCTTTATAGCTACTCCAAACATATATGTTTAGACTTGTGTCAAACTCACTTCATTAAACATCCCCCGATAACCGAAAAAGATACTTCAGTATTAAAAATGAAGTGTCTGCACTATATAACTTTTTGTAATCTTCAGGAAACACCAACTTGTTCCTAGTTTGTTGCATCAGAAAAAAAAGTATAATATGTAATACATTTTAGTTACTGCAGTGAAACAGTTGACTCCTTTACAGAGCTAACCATGCAAAACTTGCTGGGATAGGCACAGTTAACATTTGTTTGATGGGCATAATTTTAATGTGATAGTCACAAAGAACCTAGTGCAAATTAGAGCCAAGTATTAAAAGTTATAAATTTAATAGCACACTGGGTAATAGCTGGAGAACCTCCAACTTATATTAGACTTCATTCTTTGTTACATTCATTAATTTTAAATTTTAATCTCAAAATCTAACAGTGTTGGATCTTAAGCAATTAGATCCTAATGAAACCAATAGTCTTACCAACCACAGTAATGATATTAATGAGTCAATATGTTCTGAGGAATGTCCGTTAAGCAAAACAACTAAGTGGACTAGAGATAGTCAACTTCTGGGAGTTCTGAGGTGTTACTGAGTAAGATCCTTAGTCAGAGTCTGGCTCTGGTCTCCAGGACTCATAGTCTCTTCATTAATGATAGTAACGATCTATGAAAGGAGGAATTCCATGCCAAAGTTTTCTTGCAGTTCTTCTGCTGTGTTCCTCTACGTTTCCAAATGTGGATATGGACACTGGTACAGCACCAATTGTCACGCCAGGGCGAGAGCAGTGAGGCATCGCTGCTGGAATGGCTCTGCCACTTCCCAAATACCTGAAGAAAGAAAGGCTGAGTGTGCTGGCCTCAGGCACTTGGGAAACTGAGGCAGGAAGATCCAAAGCTAGAGCCCAGCCTAGAAGGAGAAGGATCGTCTAAAGCCAAAAGAAAAGGGCCTCTGGCCTGTATGTTGAATAGCGGAGATCTTATAGACGTGAAATTCTCCTGTGTATACTTTTGGCTTTTGTTTTGTAGTTTCTCTTCTATTTCTTTTTTAAATCCCAGATTCAGTGAGAATAATAATACAGTGAAATCTCAAGTACAGAGAGAACATAAGGCTTCAAGTGCTGAAAAGGAGCATTATTTAACCAGGGAGGCATTTAAGTGGAGAGCAATCAAACAAGACCAGCTTTTCTTGAAATGATTGGTTGCAAAAGTATGAGGAAGCTTATCTGTAATCACTAATATGAAAGCAATGGGGTTACAGTGGCTAAAACAGAATGCTAAAACCCTGTTCACAACAGATTATCCTAGACCTTGGCCATTTATATATTAATGATGATGAACTAATTTCTTTGAGTTGTGATGATAGCTGAAAAAAATGTAACCCTTTTATGTTAAGATAACTTGAAGTATAAGAAAATACTTCACAAAAATATTTGTTCTGCAGTTCTCCTTTTATCTGATGCTTTCCCATTCTTAAAATTTATTACGCTTGTTTATTTAATCTTTTATTGGGTATTTTTACTGGCTCAAGGAGTAAAGGAATGATGTCATTATGCATGGGCTGAGATGGAGAGAAGAAGTGGTCAAACCTTGAAGACTTCCAGCTCCTCCAGAATGAGCTCCCCGCTGGCAGAGCTGTTGGTGGGAAGGACCACGACCTTCTGCACGGTACCCCGGTCTAGATGGGAGAGAGAAAGGAAATGCTGCAGAATGCTGACTTATGACCCAGAATGTAGTTAAGACAAGAGCCCGGTCATAGAATAGATCAAACGCTTATAACACATTGAATTTATGTCTAATCCCATAATTTAAATTGAGAATATGTACAACTGAAAGAAACACGGGAATCTTGTATTTTGCTTAGTGATGAGTCATAGCTATCCCAGAAGGAAAGATCATCCATGTCTAAAATCAAAAGTTGTGGTACCCATAGTCACATATATATGTGTGGGTTTATGCATGTTCACATGTGCGTGCACACACACAAACACACACACACACACGTGAGTAAATCTGTAAAAGAAGTTGTGAGCCAAGTGTATACATATAATAGAAATCTTTAAGTTTGTCATTTGAAACATTCCTATTTCTTCAAACTAGCATTATAAAATGATACTCTTATCATTTTAACATTTAATATGTATTGATTTCCTTATCTGATTAAGCCCTAGTAGAAATGGTTGGCTATCATAATAGCATAAAGTCACTAGTCTTGAAAAACAAACACTTCATCTATGATTATGAGTTTTGATAAAGTAAACACTCCCATTACAATGTACAGTTGAAATGAGAAAAATAAATGTGGTTTATTTCAGGTAAACAAACCAGTTATAAAATAATTATATGATTTTATTATCATTTGAAAGTATTTCCTTAGGATGTTCTTACAATAAGTAGGTATTAAACATGTAATATAGAATAAACACACTAAAATCTCTACACCTAAAGAAGCTAAGCAAGAAAGAGGGCCCTGGGTAAGATGATCAATCCTCACTCAAAAAAAGGCAAACATGATAGACATTTGAAGAGGTAGAAAACAGAGAACAGGACAGGAGCCTACCACAGAGGGACTCTGAAAGACTACTCAGCAGGGTATCAAAGCAGTTGATGAGACTTATAGCCAAACTTTGGGCAGAATGCAGAGAATCATATGAAAGAAAGGGGAGATAGAAATACCTGGAGGGGACAAGAGCTCCACAAGGAGAGCAACAGAACCAAAAAATCTGGGCACATGGGTCTTTTCTGAGACTGATACTCCAACCAAGGACCATGCATGGAGATAACCTAAAACCCCTGCACTGATGTAGCCCATGGAAGCTCAGTTTTCAAGTGAGTGCCCTAGTAATGGGGAACAGGGATTGTCTCTGAGATGAACTCAGTGGCTGGCTCTTTGATCACCTCCCTCTGAGAGGGGAGCAGTCTTACCAGGCCACAGAGGAAGCCAGTGCAGCCAGTCCTGATGAGACTTGATAGGGTAGGGTCAGAGGGAAAGGGAGAAGGACCTTCCCTATCAGTGGACTTGAGGAAGGGCATGGGAGGAAATGAGGAAGAGAGGGTGGGATTGGGAGGGGATGGGGAAGGGGATTACAGTTGGGATACAAAGTGAATAATCTGTAATTAATAAAAAAATAAATAAATTTAGAAAAAGAAAAAATTACCAAGAGTAGTGACAACTGAGCTTTGGAGCTATTGGGGGGGAAAGGAGTGAGAGTTCAAAGCAGTGAGAATTTTACTCATAAAAACAACAGCCCAAGAATCATTTAGTTAGTAATATGACAAATCTTAAACCTTAACACCTAATACTGGTTGTCAGTCTATAAAAAAGTATTACTTTGATGTAAAAAATAAATCATGCTCATGTTTACAATTTACATTCTATGAACCATATCAAAAGAGTCACAAAAGTTCTTATTTTAAAAGTCATGGCTTATATTTATGGTGGTGAGCTTAACTTTTAATGAGGGTAGGTTTGGAAGAGTACAAGGGAGGGGCCTACATCTTGGATACCAAGTGACTAAACTGTAATTAATAAAAAAATAAATTAGTTTAAAAAGCCATGGCTTACAAAACAGTACAACCCAATAGAATGATTTTAAAAAGAACGAAAACTACTAAATGATATCCGTAACAGTAAGAGTGGGTGTTTGCCAGAACAATCACTAGATTTGTGAAGATACAGCATTTGAGAGCATAACTTCAGAAGTGTTTAAGTTCATTCTTTGAGTGCAATTCGCTCCTTAAAGCAAACAAAAATTAACAATGGTTCCAAAGCATTGATGACTCCATGTGTACTGTACAAACTGACATTATTTTCCTTCTCTGAGCTCCTCCCTTAGAGTCAGCTCAGGTGATGGCTATTTTTGTTCTAGGAGATAATACTAGTAAAGATTTGCAGCAAAAAACCTCTCAGAGATGCTGTGCAATTAACTCATAATGGCAAATGGATGAATGTTGTTGTAGAAGCATCTCATTTTCAAATGACAACCATCAAAACGGTCGATGGAGATATCTAAAGGAATATCATATAACCAAATGTCCTAGTCAGAAGAAAACCTTGGGATTGTGACATCTTAGAGAAACTTAGATTATGAAACTTGGAGAAAGGGGTGTGTGGTTCTCTTCTCTTCTCTCTCTCTCTCTCTCTCTCTCTGTGTGTCTCTCTGTGTGTGTCTGTGTATGCATGTCTCTTTCTGTGTGTATATATATATGCAGATGCTCCTGTTGAATAAGAGAGTCAATGGCCCTCAACGTCTAGAAAAATCAGGACCAGAAAAAGAGTATCCAATTTGACTGACATCATATTATGATAAAGGTTATAAACTTTTTCTGGCTCCTTACTATAGCACGTAAGTACTATTAACATTCTAGCCTTCTCCATGGCACCAAGCTTCCTGCATGAGGGGAGGATGAGAAGAGGATTTCTAGACCACACTCACAAGAAAAATTAAACAAAAGTGTATCTTAATTGCAGTATCTCTTAAAAATATAACAAAGCTCTGAAAAGTTCAAAAAGCTTGGTTTATTTAGCCATTCCATAATGCGTACACACAGCAAATGGCCATGTGGTTTAAATAACACATGTACAATGCCTGCTTTTCAATGTTAAGGAAAAAAACTGAATTTTCTCAGACGAATCAGGTGCCTCTTGATTTTTTCTAATATATTAATGATCAATGAGAGCAATATTTTTAGAAATCATCAGTCTTTTCTAAAAGACTATTGGTAGCGAGACCTTTTTGCCCATTGATAAAATATGAAAAACTGTAACATTAATTGATAAGATATGGTAAAGAACATGTATTTGACTCATTCATAATAAAATGTAGGATATCACTTGTCTTTTGCTTTTTTATTTTAGATGTTTAAAATCTATCTGTTACTGATGAGTACATAGAAAATATATTTTCAGTATCTCAGGCCATATAACTCACTATAAAATAAAGTAAATTTTGGTTACCCACCATCCATTTGAACTCATTGACTTGGTAAAAAATTATTGAGGATCTCCAGTGAGTCAGACAGCAGAGATAAAAACATAAGTGGACATAATGCTCAAGTGTTCACAGTCTAAAATTTATGGGTTTTTAAGTCCTGTGTTCACATTAAAATGTTAGTCGTTGTGAGATATACATTCCAGAGTGGCCATAAAGCTCCCCAGTACTGACACCCACATAAAGCCATCTCTGTACCGCTTTCTTTGAAGAAAATATGGTTATCAGATATCTTCCTTTATGGGATGCTGAGAATGGTTCTCTTTGAAAGTATGCACTATTATAAATCCATGGTTTTTATCTTTGGAAAAGGCATCATGCTTACAATGCTGTTACAGTGAGGCAGATTCTCACTTGTTTCTCTGGCTTCACTTGGCATACGCATACATAGAGCCAATACTTTTTCAGTGGGTGTCTGTTACTACAGCTCACGTTGAGCCATTTCCCTTCTTGCATTAATATCAACAAGGAGTTTTTAGAAACATCCCTTCCTTTCTCCGTGTATGCAGTAAAGGATGCTCTGCTATTCACCAGCCCCATGGAGAATAATAGCATCTTTGCCTCTCTGCTCACACAGGAACGGGCCAATAAACAAGTCAGGGCCTGGGACTAGGCCACAGCATGAGTCTCTTTCATCAAGGTATTAAATTCGTCCCCATAGCTGTGCTAGAGTCATTCCAGCTACTATGCAAGAAACCCCCTTGGAGAGTTAGAAATACAGAAAGCAGAGCTCAAAGATGCTACAATGGCATTCTGCTGTTTAAATTCCCAAATGTGAAGTCTTTTATTGTTTTAGTTAGCCTGAGAAAGTTATAAGGTCATTTTTAGTTGACTTTTTACTAAGAATCAATAATATAGAGATTTTTTTAAACTATGTCTGGTCTGGTACATAGGGCACCCTCAGCAAGTGAATCCACTTTACCTCTATGTATCCCACGTCCTAAACCTTGGACATCTTGGAGTAGCTTTCTTTCTTTTCTTTTTTTTGAACCTCAACTTCTTCATCAAGATGAGGTACATAATAGACCCCTGAATAGATTAAATCACTGATGATATGTGTGAATAACCAGGACAGATCTTAGAAGTGATTTCCATAATGTAAATTTATATACAAAGAATCAATACACATTATTTAATTTTCTTTTGTTTACTCAATATCTAAAGAATTTTCCCTAAATAAGCATTCTTTCTGGTTCTTTATTTTATACCATCTAGATCTCTTTGAATTGTAATATAAGGGATCACAGCAACAATTGTCCAAGTGCCCTTCTGTCTCTAACCTAGAGACCAGCCTGCATGTACTACACAGTAGGTGTTGGCTGTCTCTGGCAAGCGATGAAGCATAGCTCATTACTCAGCAGGTCACAAGAGTCATCATTGGTATTTATCCCCTGGTTGCATTTTAACTGAAGTCCTCAGGTTTCCTTGGAAACAGGCTGTGCCTGCCACTGGATTGGAGAAACACTGCCTTCTTAATCAGATATAGTCCTCCCCTCTCAGTGGTTGCTAACTCATGAAAGAATTCTAGTCAAGCTGGCCTCCACCATGTGTGACCAATACAATCACATTGGCACCTAGGCCCAGGGAGGTTACAAGTTTGATTTAGTGTCCTTTTATCACCTCTTTAAAAGTCTTAATTGTTTTAGAAAGAGGCACTGAGTTTTATTTTACACCATACCCTAC